AGGTTTAGCTGCATTAATTAATGTCGTTAACTTTTTGTATTTCTAAATCGTCTTGAAAGTTCCAAGTCATATTCTTGCATTTCTTTTGGATTATCGCCAATGTCTTCACTATCTTCGGACATTCTTTGTCCCCAAACATCTCTTTGTACCATTATCGAATAACAACAACGATTATTCCCCAAGAAGTTTTGTTCGAAGGATTAACATAAAACCAACAATCAATTAACTAATCAAAATCCATCTTAAAGCCACTTGGAAGCTTACAAACTCTACCCCACCATATATTTCTCCGATGGGCATATCATCTCAGCCTTCAGCCTCTTATATTCGCTAATCAAAGTTATCATTGGTCCTTCTCTCTTCCATGATTTCACCGATACTGTATATATTCACAAACACACAATTAGTAACCTTCAATTTCACCGTTGGTTCTTACTCGAGAATAACATCACGTTGTTCTTATTCTATTATGGATAGGTTTACTCTTGGTTTCTTGTTTTCCAAGTCAATGCTCTAAAACTTACTAAGTTTGAGTTCACGAAAATAAATATACAATATCTCCCTACACTACACAATATCGAAATCTTTCAAATTCTCCTCATCCTAATCCTAACCACCTCCAAACGTATTGTAAAAGATAATTAAATTATTTGAAGAACATATATAGACACAATACATAGGAGATAAATTGAACCACATACCTGATATCATCACGAATTGGTTAAATTATGCGATGAACTTATACAAATAAAAAAAACGAAAAACAACAAACAAAATCATTAGTAAAAGCATGATCATTAACAAAATGGCAAGAATAAAAGCAAGAAACAACAGAATTAAAAACCTAAAATTATCACACAAAACTATCTCCGACCGCCTGAAAGCTGAGGACACTTCACCTAAGAACCTGGGACAAAGGCCCATGACCATCCATGGAGGAGCCAAGACACCATCACTCCCTGCTTGAGAAGATTTAGAGCATAAGAGCATGTTTAATGGTAAACTTTTGTTGTGGGTTCT